GTGTTTTTTTGTGTTATATACAGCTGATTGCCCAATTGGCCAGTTACCAGAAATTTTGACACATTTGACAAGGCTTGTTCAATAGTTTAATATACGATTTGGTTTGAATTATTTCTGGATCTGCTTTGTTTATTTCACCTCCCTGAACATGCACTGCTTTATTTAGGTCTATATTTCAGTTTTTATGTTGGTTGCATCATATAGTTGAATTGAAATGGAAGACGATTGCGCTCCTGTGATGAAACAAAGGAATTACTGCAAAATGTATCGAAACAAATTTTTGAACAAATCGCTTTCCTCAAAAGAAACCGAACTTTTACCAAGCTTGGATTGATAGAATGAAACCCCCTTTCTACAAAAATCTCTGTTCAGTAGGTTTAAGCAAATATGTTGTTTGCGAGCAACATTTTTCTCAAGATTTTACATGTGGAATTGAGTGGAGCTGTTTGGAATTTCACGTATCGGTACTGAACGTTAAGAGAAAAAAATTGAATGCATGTTACGTGGAATATTCTCACTGAAATTTTCAAATTGGCTTTGTGATTGAAAAATGCCTTTCAAAAAATTTTATGTTGCTCAAAATATTATAAATTCATTATTGAAAGATAAAAAATATTCATACCTACAACCCAACAAAAATAACACAAATCCTCAAATGAGTAATTTATATACCTATATACGATCAGTAAACAAGATTTCTTCACTCTCGACACACTAACACTAACACATTACATGTCTCTGATTTAAAATTTCTGAAATTTATAAGCTCCTGAATACAGACACAATCAGTGATTGCCATCAAGTATTCAGTTTCTGATCTGAATATATTGCTGTGGTACCTATTGATGTCACATCACCATCTAAACCATTTTATAATAAGAATCCTCAATAACATTTTTGTGATTGTAGTAGATGATGATTTCAAAACATACCAATGAAAAAAAGTGTGAAGTATCCACGGATAAGGTAATTGAAACGTTTGTTTCATTTCGAGCACTATACTTTTATACAGGTGTAGAAAGAGCAAACTTTGTTTGCCCCGATAAGTCACTGCGTAAATTCAAAGTATTTTTCATAAAGGGAAAGAGGTTAGATATACAGATTATACAGTTACTTATCTTTTTTCTTCGCTGATTCGCTTTCATTTCAAACATCACGACAGATGTTAAAGGAGTTTTGAAATGTGAAGTAAGTATGTCCATGTTGTTGATTGCCTACTGATATATTCGATGTGGTATTTAAAACAGGTAAACGAAAACGATACATTTCCGAAGCACGCTTCGAAATATACTTCTTCCCAGATATAAAAATATACGATAATTCGTGGAGCTTACGTCTCGTAGAATGAGCAATCATTCTTGTCTTCATTTAACTCGATATACACTTTCTGTTTTTGATCTAGTAATTTTGATACTGTCAATAGGCAATTTCTGATGTAAACTAGATGTTTGTTCTCAAGGCTTTAATAGTCTTGAAGGTATCTTTTGAATGCAATTTTTTGTTTTTCTTCTGTCATTGGATTTTGTATGTGTGAGTATCGACCTTAATATATTTTTTGTTTCGCGAGAAGTTCTTACATCATATCTATTTCCAATTCGTCTCATCGTTGCAGATAGTTCTAGAATATAACGTATAACGTCAGTGGTTGTTGAAATCGGTAAATTCCCACACCTTTTCCAAGTAAAAAAGGTACACCTCCTCAACAACGCTGGAGGTGACCGTTTTCGGGATATTTTCAATTTTCTATATCGATGCATATTACTTAGCTCCTAGGGCGCTAAGTGAAGTCAAAATAAACAACTTTTTCCTATAAAATGTTTAACGAAGAATGATTCTTTTTCGAAATACAGATCGAAATACAGGTTTTTGTCATAAGTTGTTTGCAATTTTAGTTATATTCATCAAACTTTATACGCAGCATACCCGTACAGACTTCTTCTAAACTGAGCATTATCGAACTGCTTATTCAATTCAAATTAAAAAAATTTGTCAGGTTTGATTATTCAGTTAGAAAGTGCTACATTTCGGAGTTTGTAAAAAAAACAATTCGGAGAAGTACTATGTTACTCAGTAGGAAAATAAACATATAAAAATTGAATGGAACAACTGTTACAACAACTGTTCAAAGTGACGATTCTCAACAGTAATACAAGCTTCTGCTCTTCTCATCAAAGAATTCCGCACCCGTTGAAAAATGCCCGGAGTGTTTCTTATCGTTTCGCAGCAAGATATGATGCGATCCCTCAACATTTCCTTGTTTTCAATGGGGCTAGCATAAACTGGTGATTTTAGGTGTCCCCAAAAGGAAAAATCGACGAGATTGAGGTCCGGTGACCTCGGGGGCCAATGCTCAGTGCCTCCTCTTCCTATCCATCGTTAGGGATATGCTACGTCTAGAAAATTTTTTGCTATTAAACTAAAATGAGCAGGAGCTCCATCGTGCATAAACCAAGAGAGTTGGGGTAACTCGTGTTCCAAAAAATGTAGGTAAGCATCTCTATTCAAACGTAAGGGGAGAATATAGGGCCAATTAAATAATCCCCAATTATGCTTACCCATACATTAAAAGAGAATCTGTCTTGAAAATGAGTNTAAAGCTATAACGAACGAAAAATACTAGTATCATTGCAACGGGCGCTTGATATACAAAAAATATGGCACAAAGCGCCCACACTTTTTTCACAATAATACTACTATTTTGGGTTCGTTATTGTTTTAAGCTTATTTAAAAAAAATATTTTCAACTTTTCAGTTCGGTGTTCTTTACAAGCGTGTTTTTTAGTTTTTCAAACTATATTTATTTTACATTTTTTAGTTTCGTATGCTATAAAAGCGTGTTTTTATTCTTTTAAAACTATATTTATTTTATCTAAACTTTGGGATGAATCAGACGTAGGTATATTGTTTAGAAAAATGACCGTTGATATTTTCCGACTCCGGAGAGGGAGCTTGAAAATCAGCTACCAAGTCCAAGACAGCAAGCGCGCAAAGGAGAGTTACAAATAAGGTGGCAGGCGCGCGTGTTAATAAAAAAATACTTTTTTCAAATGAAGAAATACATGTGAAGTGAGTTCGAATTATATCAAGGAGGTTACGTTCAGCGCCATCTGCCCGCGAATAGATCAAGCAATAATGTCGATAATTCTGTCGAATACTGATCCCGAGCTTGAGAGTTACAAGCAAACATACATACATACAGGTGAAGCTAATATGAAGCGTGTGAAAGCAACAAAAAATTACATTTATAAAATACCTCATTATTGTGGTGAAAGTTGAAGATCATCAAAAGTGCGTGGAAATGAACATCAAAAAAATAACAGAAATAGACAAATGACAGGATTGAAATTATCAGAACAGAATTATGACGGTGAACATCGAGTTGAATGCAATAAGACAAGGATGAAGCCTACGTAAGCTTAGAGAATCTGGAGAGGAGTTTATTTCGAACAGTTCCTCATAAATGGCTGATAGTACTTGGCTACTCGTCTTGAAGAAAGATATTGTTTCTTTGAGGAACGTTCGATAGCTCAACTAATGGATTGACAAATGAACCATATTAAACAAAGGGGAGCCAAATAAAGCTTATTATCGGTACAAGTCAAAGTTAAAAAAGAGATGATGAGCAGAAACAGAAATCACCGAAAACTCTGTGTTGATTTAGTGGTTATCCTGAACGGCTTGTAGGTAGTTTTCTGTTCTTAGTCTCAACGATATGGAACACAATAAAGATGAGAAACATAAGGGTTATACATTATAGGGAGCGATAAATAATATTATCACAAGCGAAAACCTATGAGCTGTAGAAAGAGCGAAAGGGCCAAGATGAATACATCAATCTAACTGCTTGAATATCTTCCTTGTCGGGTTATCGATTATACAACAGGAAAAAACTCTCACTCAAAACATTTCGGGACTCGTAGAGAATCAATGAATTGTTTCAAACTGCTACTGAAAAGTTTACCCTTTCTACACCTGTATAAAGTTCACCATTACCATTTTTATACATTTTCAGAGTGTGGAAGCTGAAAATATCCAAAAAAGGTCAATAAAACCTCTATATCCACTTATACTTTCATACAATATTTTCTGACTTGCGAACATTGGAAAGAGCAATGAAAAGAAACCTTCAATGGCTGGTTTCTGCTTGTTCTTGGTGATTTTAAACTGCATCGGTGTGCATTCCATGTAAGGATCTTCATTATCGGCTAACGTTAAAGGGTCCTTCAATGGATTCATCGTGATCCAGTATGATCCGTCTTTTTTCTGAATGTGTAGAGTGGGTTTTGGTGACACGTTGATTTCATCGTCTGAATGGATACCTTTTCTATCTTTTCTGAATTTTGGAACATTTAGAATTCCCAATCCTTTCATCTGGCGATGCGCTCTGATGCGATCAGCTATTGTTCTGACTATTGCTCCAGGTTTCCAACCCTTTCGAGGCTTCAATCTCAGTATCGGGGTGTGGATGTTCCACAACCATCCCATCCGAGGAGGTACATTGAAAACCGGTGTTACGCATTCTCTGTGTCCTATTTTAACCCCCGGATATTTATCAGATGTACTATAAACGAACTTTCCCCTCCTCTTCTTCTTTTTTTTTCTATTTTTGGTTGGGATTCTTCGTAATACTCTTCCTGTTCTGGAGCTTCCTCACAAACTAGTGTGGTTTCAGTTTCCACCAAGACATATGATGATTCATTTGAAAGTACCTGATAATTATTATTATACACCTTTTGAATTGGTAAACGTGGAAAGTAGTGGCGTGACAAACCATATAAATCCTAAAGAATAGCAAAAATGTAGCAATACTTAGAAAAATTATATATGGTATAATATCGAATGAAATGGATAAATGATGTTACGAATTACAAAAAAACTTAATTAAGGAAAGTTTATTCATCTAGACTCACCTTCAATCTCAGTATCGGGGTGTGGATGTTCCACAACCATCCCATCCGGGGAGGTACATTGAAAACCGGTGTTACGCATTCTCTGTGTCCTATTTTAACCCCCGGATATTTATCACCTGTACTATAAACGAACTTTCCCCTCCTCTTCTTCTTTTTTTTTTCTATTTTTGGTTGGGATTCTTCGTAATACTCTTCCTGTTCTGGAGCTTCCTCACAAACTAGTGTGGTTTCAGTTTCCACCAAGACAACGTCTTCTTCAAGTTTTTTGTCGCAGCTCTCTTCTTTGCTACCCCTTTTGGATGATTTCTCAGAGGTGACATTAAGAACAGGTACCGGCTCATAGGGGCAATTGGGTACGCCACATGACGGTAACGGTTGTGCATATGGGCAATAAGGGTCGTTGCAGATCGGTTCATCAGATTTCTTCTTTACAAACGGGCACTCGGGATTATCGCAAATATTTCTTTTGATTTTTCCCTTGTCACCGATTGCATTTTTTTTCTCTGCAAAAGGGCAGTTCGGATTATCGCAAACTTCGCCTGCGGAATTTTTCTTTATTTTTTTCTGAAACGGGCATTGTGGGTTTTCGCAAATATCATTAGCTGCTTCAGGTTGACCAGGATTTTCTCTTGAGCTTTTTCTTTGTTTCTTTTTCTTCTCTGCTTTTTCGGGATTGACGTCAGTAAATGGGCAGTCGGGATTGCCGCATGGACTTTGGATGGATTTTTTGGCAACGCGACAGCTCTTCAATTTTTTAATTTCTGTTGATAAAAATTAGAAAACCAGAATTGAATTCAAATTATTTATCAATAGTTAACTATGAATTTAAGCTGAAACTTGTGTGATGCTCCTAATTCAGTAGTATTTTAAGTACACCCATTCTTTAAATGAATGTTAGGAATCATTTCATGGTAACTTTTTTAACGTACTCAGTTTGAAAAAAATCTGTTTTTCCGTTAATCAGCAGTCGCCCCCATACGAACGACAACTCTTAGAAGTTGAGAAACTTGTGCGAGCTAATGACATACGAGGTCTTAGCCTTTAACGTGTGATTCCTAACACGGTTGCGGAATCATCCCAGCTTCGACCAGATAAATTATCTCGAGAAAAATATCTGGTCGAGGCGGGAATTGAACCCACGGCATTCCGATCGTGAGTCGGGCGCACTACCACTGCGGCCGGTGGTAGTGTGTCAATATGGAGTTATACTTCATATTGACACAAATAGACCCAGAATTATCTATGGCAGGTTTGACTGGAATTCATGTTTCCGTTTACCATTTGCTATTGGTAATAAATATTATCGTACGTATCATATATTTATAAATGACCTCATAATAATTTCAATTCCACATTAAATTTGGATTTATTTCACTGAGTAGCAACAATTTCAAAAAACATTGTATTTTTGCATATGGCTCACTTGGTGAATTAAAATGAAAAAAGAAAAAATAATTCTTTCAACTAAATATGATGCATATAACCTTACTGAAGATATTACACTGTTATTTTCATTACCTTCATCTTTTCGAGTGAAAGGACAGTCAGGGTTCTCGCATTTCGTAAACTCGCCTTTAATACTTGAGCTATCAAGGTTTGTCGAAACCTCATCTTCTTTTTTCGTAAAAGGGCAATCAGGATTTTCGCAAATCCTCTCATCCCGAGAACTCAAAGAACAAGATGCGTCTTCCTTGTTATTCTGTTGCTCTTCAAGAAAAGGGCAAGGTTTCTGCCTGAAAGGACAACTGGCAAGATCGCAAGGAGCTGGCAAAGCGTAAGGGCAAGTGGTGCTGCCGCAAGGGCCTTTTCTGAGGCCGGGACACTTCAACATTTTCAGTTCCTGTGGCAAGAAAGGACACTCTGGGTTCTTGCAGTTGCCTTTTGGTAAAGGATCTGGGCAATCCCAATGAATAGGTGGCAAATCGGATTTGAGTGGATAAGGGCATTTAGGATGGCCGCACTTTCCTGATATAGCCGGAGGAAGGAACTGGAGCTCTAGAGCTGCATCATCGTCTACCAAACCTTGAAATAAGACAATGTCATTGACGAAATAGATACTATCTCATGTTTGAGGTCACTGTACAGTTCACTATGAAAATAAGTAATGGTTATATTTTTAGGAGTAATTAATTTTTGGGAAAAAAAGTTTTTGGCTTTCTACTACTCCATCTTGATACAAAAAAAGGATGAGGGAATCTTCCAAAGAAAGGGGTGAAGTAATCAATTTGAAAATAAGTACCTATACATGGATGTGTAGATCATGCAAAGGAGTAACTTTCAGACACAAACTGAAAGAAAGTCCTCATGAAACAGCTATTCATATAAACATTGAATTAAACGAAAGAAAAAAATTCTTTCAAAGCAAATACTTCTATACGAACACTGAATTGAAAAGAAGATACTTTTCTCTACTCAGTTTGTATTTCAAACATTCGTTGTGGAATAAAAATCAGATATCATTCACATGAGTTCTACTTTAAATGAATGGTAACAAATTGCACTTACATGGAACACTGTCACCCTCACTGGTATACATCGATGTTTCGCTTCAAGAAAGTGTCAGAAGTGTCAGAAGTAGTTGTTTCGAAAAAAAATTTTCTTTCGTGTAATTCAATGTTTATATGAAAGTAGCTGTTTCAGGAAGACTTTCTTTCAGTTTATGTCTGAAAGTTACTTCTTTGCATGATCTACACATCCATGTATAGTTACTTATTTTCAAATTGATTACTTCCTTACTTTCTTTGGAAGATTCCCTCATCCTTTTTTTGTATTAAGATGGAGTAGTAGAAAGTCAAAAACTCTTTTCCAAAATTTAATCACTCCTAAAAATATAACTCCTTCAATTCAGATAAGATTCCTCTTGGCTGGGATTGGATCAAATAGGTGAATGAATGTCATTACGATGTCATCGATGACATAAGCAGATCAAGCTCATTCCGTGACATTAAAAAAAAATCTGTTTAAAATATGTTTTTTTCGTTAACCAGCTGTCGCACCCCTACGAACGACAGCTCTCAGAAGTCGAAACTTGTGCGTGCCAAGGATTAACGAGGTCTTACCTTTAAATGTGTGGTTCCTAACATCGTAATTCATGAATGAATTGTGTGTATTTTCTATAATGTTATCCAATTTGGTACTGAAGAGCCTTAGGGCAAGTGTCTTAAGGCGAAACATCGTGTTAATCATTCAATCACGTATGTACATGTCAAAACTTACCAAGTTTATACTTAGTGTAGGCACATTGGGGGGATCCACAACCAGCCAGAAATTTCTTCTTTTTAGGCTCTCTGTAGGGACATGACTCCATACTACATGGAATACTGTTGCAGGATACACTTTCCACATCTTGCGCATCTTCGATCTTTTCTGAAACTACCGGCTGATCGCAAAGCTTTTTACAACTAACTTCAGCCAAATTCTGGGCGTAGGGGCATGTCGCTTCCCCGCATGGTCCTAGAGCTTTCTTATACGCAGCAAGTATCTGATCAAACTGATCCATTACAGGCTTGCACTCCAAAAACGGAGATCTAGGACCGTACAGATCAAGATCCACCGGTCCTCCTCCTCTCAGGCGTAATACCGGAGAAAAATTTGTTTGTAAAGAATGTCGAGTATATCTTGAGACGCTATTCGCTTCGGATGAACAACTTTGTTCTTGATAAAACACTACAGGAACTTCCTTTGCAGCAAAAATTTGGTTCCACTTAAAGCATATATTTTGGATTCCACATGAATGATTTTCTTTGAGACCCCCCCCTCTCAATCTGGCTGCCATTGGACATTTGGGACTAATATTGGCTTCGTTACCATTTTCGCTTATGGCTGATACGTCTTTTAATTTTAGTTTGTGATTGCAGGTAGAATATATTTTGCTGTTTGGACAAGTTGACAATGGAGTTTCTGAAGGTTTTTTACGGGGGATGAAAGGTTGATTGGGATCTTTGGGCCTTGTAAATAAGCCGTAAGGTCCGTAATTTGACAAAGTTCCGTAGGTATGGCTCAGGCCGTACGAAACTGGAGGTTCAACGATTGTGTACAAAGTTCCAAGACCTGGAATTTATATAAATCTTTTAATTATTTAGGCATTGATGTGTGATGGATAGAAGTCGGAATATGAACAAAAAATACTGGTTATACAACCATTTTTAATTAAAATGAAATATGTCTGTCTAATTGATCTGTAATTCAAGGGCTTGTACAGCTAATGAAATAATAGAGACATATAATTGGAGTTTGTGTTACGATGCCTTGATATATCGTTCATATCACTGCTATTTTTCTTCAAATACAATGACAATGATGACGGAATGAAGCTATTTCCCGAACTATTTGGTGAAAATTGAGTTGATGTAATGATGTAATTAATTTTTATTATTGTTATTTAGATTCATTTATTTGATAATGCCCAATATTTTGTGAGCACAGTGTAGTTTGCTGAAAATCACTTCTATCTCTCAGCAGAATCAATACAAGGAATCTGTTGTAATATAAATAACCGAATTAACCAGCTCTCGCTCCAAGATTAGGCCGCCGCCTATAGCGATACCATTGAAGTTTTTAGAGGGGGAATTAGATGTGATAATTTATATATACATTTCAAACAGTTCAAAGCATTAGAATTGCAGATGAATATTTTTTCGATCAGTGGGATGTAGGTACCCCATAATTTTGTTCAAAATAATGTAAGGCGGGAAACTTTCGGTGTCAACATTATATATACCGAGTAATCATGTTGCATAGTCTGGAATATTCAAAAAAATATTGTGTTTATATACTCATATATTTTTTATTGGTTTGTATTAGTCAAATTCATACAGGTCTATATTTGGAGACTTCGTAAACGGTGAGAGATAGAGAGTAGTTCGAAAAATCCACTTTAGCTTTTTTGTTTCAGAGATATATGAAAAATTTTGAAGTTCTATTTTTTGTAGATTCTTTTTCATCTGGAGAAAATGTTTATATCGCAAACCTCTACTTTTTTCAGTAAGGTTTACTAAGATTACAAAAATTTTGAACTTTCGGTGTTCAGTCGGGCTGTAATCAGTAATATGAAATACAAGTTGTTGGAGAAAAATAAGCTCCTATTGACCTCAAATCGAAAGTGAATGTACGTCTTCTAATTCGAAACTAAAATTAATTTTCTGAGAGAAGTAGTGTTTTTGAAACGTCGAAACCAAAAAGAATCATGAATTCAAAGATACTGGAGGAATGACCTGAAGTATTTTTCGAGGACCATTCAAAATTTCTCAGACACTACGTATAAACTTCAAATGAATGAAACTAAATTCGTTTTACAGAATGGAATCAACTGTGTCTCATTTTTCTCAAACATTGATTCACACTTTCTCATATTTTTCAATGATTGAAATTAAAACTTGGAAACGAAGCTGAACCACTAATGCATTGTTGGATTCCTCCAGAGAGAAACGTGCGTTAAAGTAATCATGGACATCTCCCATTACGAATACGCTATCTGCAGGGTCGACAGAAAACTCAAGTCTAGCTTATCGAAGTTGAATGAAAATTCCTTTCACAGTCTATGGCAAAGCCCAGTTTCAACCATTTTTGAACTTTGGTTATCTAGTTGCCTTGCAATGAACGCTACAGCGAAAGTAGTTGATACGCGAGAATAGCTTTAAAACAGATCGTCAAGGGGGCCGTTGTTTATCTTGGATAAGAAAGATTTAAGAGTTTCAATGAGGAGGAAAATCATATTTAGTGTTACTCCTCATTATTCTTTTAATTTAACAATTCATTTTCGGTTCAGTTCAGCATCACTGATGAGATATATATGGCAAGTCCAACAAAGTATTATTCGTTGTTTGAAAAATAATAAACTGATCTTGATTTTGTCTCAAGAATGGATTTATCTATCTTATTTTGAGGTCTATACAAACATTCTACAGAAAATTTGAATATTGATCATAAATCTACAAAGGAACCAGCAAAAGTAGGTACATAAAATTATTTCTTCAACATCTCCGAAACTAAAAAATAAATGGAACTTTTATTGCTTTCTGAAATCTGCAACTTTTCTGGAACTTAATAAAAGCTCTGATCAGGAGAATTATATTAATTTTCAATTTTCACTTGAGGTCAATGCTACTTTACTTTTCTCAAATGATAACTCATATTCTACTGATTCAAATCCAGCCAAAATTTGGTTCGAACATGAAAGTTATACGTTTTCGAAAGTTCAATTGCTCGAAATTAACCGTTACAAAAGCATTGTCGGTTTGGTTTATTTTTGGTAAATCATGCTTCTTATATACAATCAGAACAAATTATAAATACATATCAATAAGATACCTGCTCCTGTTGCCAGTGGCCCTATTCCGAACTCCTTGAACTTTTTGGCTCCTGGACAGTCCTTGTTCTTGCATAGTTTTTTGGCGAACATCTCCGCTGTCATTTCCAGTGCGGGATCAGGCTTTTTCTCCTCTACCTCTTTCTCTTTTTCTTTCTGTTTCTCTTTCACCTCTTTCTCCTTCCCGTTAAGAGTTTCTTCAACAAAAGTAGCCCTCCTCTCTCCAACGTGCCGCTGCTCGTCGATCGTCGTCAACTTCTTGTGGCTGTTTTGCTTGTCGAACGTCAGCGTCACCATGGTCTCCTCCTCTTTGGTGGCCACCTCAGCGGACACCATGTTGAGGAAGTCGAAGAACTTGTTCTCCGGCGGCCGGAATACCATCGAGACTATGTCGAAAGCGCTTCTTGAGACCTCCATGTCCTTGTCGGTGGCGTGGCCGAGCTTGTCAAAGAAGTCTTCATCGTCGACGGCCATCGGCGCGACGCTGAGCTTGGCATCAGCACTCACTCCACCACCGAAAAGTTCTGTCCAAGAAATCTGGCTGGTGGCGGTGTTGGTCGGCACGGGCACGTTAAGGACGGGGTGATAGATGCTCGAGACGGGGGTTACGAATGTCGTACGGGGATCGAACCTACGATAAAATGATGAAAAGGTACAGGAAATTTATCATACAGGTATATATGGATTGGATGATACGGAAATGACTCTACCAAAGTCGCAATCGTGTGTGCAAGTATGAAAATAATATTGAAATATAGCAATTACAAATCACAAGTTCAACATATATTCTAAAAGTATCTAAAAGTTAAAGCTCATTCAAGAAACAATTTATTGTGGATTTTTACTAAACAGTATTAACAAAACGCAACACGTGGTTCGCTATACAATAGCTTCTTCTGGCATGTACTTCATTTTTGTCTCATTGCCATTTACAACGTAATGGTCTAATTTCCGAACCACCATATAGTTATATAATTGAAATGGAAGATAACCGGCGTCATATTTGAATCAAGATTTAATTATATTGCTCTTTTGCCAATTGCATTTTATTGACAACGCATTTTATGTCGGAATGCTGAAAAAATTTTATCATATTCATTCGTGATATATCTCTCCGGGCACGACTTTAGTAAAGGCTATACAAAATATACAATACAATACAATATTCAAAATCCATAGTGTACATTTTTAAAAACAATTCTGAATAAAACTGACAATGTTTCATGATGAATATCAATAGTTCGGACTTCCATTGTTCAGTCATCACGAAGACGATTGTGGATATTAACAATCGATTCGTCGTGAAGTAACTTGACTTGGAATATCTCCTTTTTTTTATTTTTTGTTCAATTGTTCTATTTTTTACTTGTATTTCATTTCCCTGTAATTTCATTTCAGGATTTTTTGCTTAATATAATTGTTACTTTCAGCTATTCTTTTTAATTTTTCATTTGTATTGGTTCTTTCAGGGATTTCAAATCATTTTTTATAATATTAGACAATGGAAGTCTGAACGAATGGAATCTGAATAATCGCTAAAATTCCTCTCAAATATATTTATGAAACATTCTTAGTTGTTCAAATCGAAAATCTAAGTTTGCTTTCTGACGGACAATGATAAAAGATAATAGATTAAGTCTGAAAAACATTTTCAACTGAATAAAGAACAACTTAATCTTCAGATCAAATCACATCCATCAATTCATTACACTACACAATTTATATGATATGATATGATACGGGCGTTTTCACTATTTTATAAAAAACAATGTCATAATCAAGTTTCATATTGAATTCTTGTTTCTACACAGATACATCGCGACGAACTTTCATATCACATAAATTGTGTAAGGTAATAACTTGATGAGTGTGAACCACATTTTTTTCTGGAGCTGAAGATACTTAAAAACGTTTTAACTATCAATTAATTTCTCATTTTTCATTTATCGCTGGACATGTTTCTTGGTCTGTTCATTTCATTTAAAGGGTCATTGTTGCATGGTCGGCCCTTACAACATTCATTGGCGAGTTGCAACTCTTTCAAATTGATATGGTGCCATCAAGTTTCTTACCATTTTGAATTTTTTTTCTCTTCGGACTCTTTAATTTAAAATCCATATTAGGGATATCATGATAGTGCAAACCTTTTTATTTGATATCCATATCAAGTGGGTGCATAAAAAAAGTTCGTCTCGTCTTGAGCAGTGAGCCATATCAAATAAGGAGTGACGTCAGTAGTCCGTCATCTTACGCAGTTTGCCATATTAAAAATCTGTTTTTCCGTTAATCAGCTGTCGCCCCAATATGAACGACAACTCTCAAAAGTTGAGAAACTTGTGCGAGCTGAGGAATAACGAAGTATTACCGTTTAACGTGTGATTCCTAATACGAATTCATAAAGACGTCATGTTGATTTTCGTATTATTTTCAGCAAATCCTCTCATTTGATACCCATATCATAGGCTTGCATGGAAAAATTATTCCGTCATATTGGGCGATACACCATATTTAATTTAGAGTGACGTCGTATTATTATTCCTATTCTTTTCACCAAACCTTATCATTCAGTACCCGTATCATGGGAATGCATAAAATAACTAGTCCGCCATCTTGGGCAGTCACATCCAAATTAAACCTTTGCAAAATTTCAGCTCAGTCGTTTCAAGATAAATGCTTCAAAGTTCTGTTGCAAAATCTGATCCGAACTAACATACTTACAAACATTGCAAGTTAAAAGCTTGTGAAATAAATAAATAGTAAAAAGCATTATTGAATATAAGCTTTTATTGACATGCCCTAAAAATGGAAAATATGTTTTATATCAATTGAAATTCATCAATTTATTAATTTACATAATTCATATGATTTTTTTCAGAATTACTTATGTCAAGATCAAATTACATATTGTATTTTTATTCGTCCGCCCAGCTGAATCTCGCGGCAAGCTTTTACATTATTAAAATTGGATAATATCATAAAATGATGAGTTCAAATTGATTTTAAACTAGGGAGAAGTAAAAACTACGATGTTAGCGAAACGCGTCTAGAAATGAAAATGATTGTTGAAATTGTGTAATTATTATCATGCCCGGTGTTATTGATTTTCAGAAAGTAACGAGCCAGTCAATTCATAATTTTACGAACTGATTCGGTGGTAAAAAATATAAACCACCAAATATTCGAAAAACATTGATTTCTATGTTTTTCAAATTATAGATGTGCAATACAAAAGGATTTTAGGTTATTTCAACTGCAGCCCCACTGGTGATAAAAGGAATATGTTTACATATGAAAATTACCTTTTCATCACTCCATACCACTATATTTTTGGAGGCTGAATTTTTTTATGTACGTTCGTTTTATGTTTTAGATGTGCAATAGGAAATAATTATTGAATATTCCAACTGAGGCGCCAGCCGCGGAGGAAGTGTTTTTGAATTTTCAATTATCTAAATTCCGTTAAACTTCTACATGAATTATAATTTCCATTCTCAAATAGTTGAGGAGTTGAAACAATTGTGAACAAAAGTAAACTATCATATTGTGGTAGATTTTTCTATTTTTGAAAGGAAAAGCGCTATATTTTTATTTAATTAGCTCAGTTTCTACGCCTAGTACTCACCCTTCGCATTTGAACGTAGCCATGGTCCTCGGATTCATGAAAGTAAACTCATCAGTCAGCGGATCCATCCTAAAATCTGTTTCTATACTGGATCCGAAACAAGATAAGCGAATGAAAAGGTCGACGCTACCAACTTTTCCGATATCTTCTTCCAAAATATCGACGGTTCCGTTGTAATCCACGGATTTCACCACCCCGATCGTTTCATAGATTTTCACCATGTCGGAGAACTCGCTTTTCCAGGGAATCAGTGCGGTTCCGATGGGCTTTCTTTTGACTCGGAAGAGCAACTCTAGTGGAAGCGTTTTCAGCTCCATTATGAGATCTGATGCGATGTAGTCGAATAAATAAGTTTTTCCCATATTGAGATCGACGGTTACATTCGGAGAAGGGACTGTGAAGAAGATACAATACGTTAGCTCACATGTACCTTTAGCTATAAAGATGCAACACACGGAGCTCGCCTTCTTAGGAACCTGTATATAATTGGACATTATGTTACCTGACCTTATTACGCCAGAGATTTCATTGCCATCCGTTAGATCTGTTACCAGCGTTGAATCAAAGTATAAATGTGATGAGCCGAAGTTGAAAGAGAACCAAAATAGACTTCATTGAAGAACGGCGTTTATGTGGAATAAACTTTCTGAGGAAGTTTTTCCAGCGATTCAAATCCAATATAAATCACTCCTTTCGCACAGGCACCGCTCTAAGAGCGCCGTATGGATTTTCTTGTGGTGCTTGTGTTTTGTCTTTAAAAAACTATTTGTTGGACACCCTTCTTGAAGTGAAACGAAAAAAACACAGTTTTGAATGAGTGATATAGTTTTTTTTTAAATATCGTCAGTTCACACGAAATAATTTTCCTTCCATACACCTAGCGAACGTAAAATGCCTTCCCACTCTCAATTTACACATGGTACTAGATATCAAGGTCGGGCAAAAGGTACGTGAAAGGTATCATTTTTAGTACTGTTTGGTAAAAAAGAAACCCTGGTCGCCGAGAGGGATGAAAACCAACTTTTCAAGGCCTTGTGATATCTCTTTTGAAAGGTATTTCAATTCTCAATTAGACACTTTTTTCATGTTTGTAAATTGGATCAGCTCTTCCTGAGTAATTGAATGTTTTTATATTTGTTTTGAGAATCTGCAACAAATAATAAACGTCATAATTCCAAGAAAAACTATATTCAAATCTCATTCCGGTTTATTTTGATAACTGTTCAAACTGTTCACTATACACTTCCTGACAATAAATCTGCTTACACATTTATTTCGTACGTCATGGAATGTTCCTGGAGTAATTTTGTTGCAAAGCACCACTTTTTCGATCAACAAATTCTTAAACGTATCATACCAAAAACATATAGAGTTGGCATATCGAGTGATCTAGCGAGCCATTCACAAGGCCCAAATTCGCACATCCACAGGTTTAGATAATAATTATCATCTAGCCACGTTAGAACCAGCCTGTCGTAATGAGGAAGTACCTCATTTTGCTGGAACGTAACGTCAGCTGAAGACTCATTTGGATTTGGTAATTATCCATACCGATAGATAGGAAACATAGTCTCTTAAGGCCTCCGACCTCAAAAACTGTTCGGGAAATCACGAATTTTTGTGGCGCCCACACATTGCTCGGTTCAGTTTTCTTTCAGTATTATCACTATTATGGAGACAACAGAGGCGATCTTAGCAATAAAATTTGAATATGCTAAAAGAAAATCGGCAAAACAATGGTTTCTTAAAAGAAAACAACTCTCTCACGTTAATTTGTTAGAGGAATTGTGGTTAGAACCAGGTGATTGGTTTAATTATCTGAGAATGGATGAAGACTCCTTCCCAAAACTACTTAGGTAAATAACGTCTTCAATCAAGAAAGATGACACAATCATGATATAAAGTATAACCCCTCATGAACGTTTTACAGGGATTTTAAAATTTGTCGCTACCGAAGTAAGATACGTAGATTTGAAATATTCACTGGTTATATCTGAAACCTGTAGTGCTATGTATACCATGTTTTAAATAAAGATTATTTGCAGGTAGAAAAGGTAAGAACAAATTCATTTTATTATACTTCTAGGTTCATACATAAAAAAGTTTGACAAAACATAACAGAACTGAGTTTTGTATTTTCTATGGTGAATTGAACAAACTGTGGTTCAAATTGTTGAAAATAATACATTCCGACATTTCCTTATTGCTATTATTGAACGTATTATTACTGTTTGGTTGCTGTGCAAGGGGTTGTTGATTTGTTTCTTTAGGGAAAGCATTTAAGTATTTCGTGAAATATTTCCCATAAAAAAAATTGTCCAATATAATTTCTCCGCCATGAATGGGTTCACTTGTGATAACTTCTTCAATTTATTTGCAATGTTTTTTCCCAACACAAAATTTGTCAGTATCTTACAACTTTTCGTTGACTCTGTTCAGTACCTCATCAGCTTTGCTCCCATAGGGTATTTTTTATCTAACACTATATGAAGACAATTACGATGTATTCGTTTTATTATGTCTAAATCGCAAATGGATTGCGGAGATTAAAGTGAACTTGTTTGAAAGTTTATTTTTTCCTGTAAAATGAACAGAAAACCTAACATTCAAGTTCATCTAATGAATTGTAAGGTATTATTTCATTTGGCCTTAATTGAAAACAATTAAGTGAGAGAATTAAGTGAAACAATAAGTGAGATGTTCAAAAAATATGAATTTAATTTACGGCCACTTAAATAATGGTCTCACAACAAAGTCTAAGATCAGCTAAAGACTCCAGAAAACCTTCAGCAACACCCGGGGTATACCGTAATCCTTGTAGTAGCAGGTAGGTCTGCATTAGAACCACGAAAAAAAGTGTTGGTAGCTGTAGCCAAACATGCTCTCAACAAAAGAGGCACTTACATTATTTCATTCGAAGATACAGTAATACTCGATAAAGCTCAAAATTACCATCCAAGAGTATATAGAGATGCAATAGGAATTCAAAAACATAGAAATAATTTCAATAGAAAAAAAAGCAATCAACATCAATAAAATCTGGCTACCTGTCCTTACAATAACGATGAGATTGGAACCTTTGGTGTGAAAGTTGAGTAACTTTTTTCGGGATCAATTGCCCAAACAACAAACTGATAATTTTGCACTCGACGTGCGTTTCGCCAACAAAGTAAGCATCCTCAGGAGAAGAAAATGTATCATACCGTTAATAATTTGTAAATAGAAAATATTGATGAGGTTGTAGGGGCTTGTTGCATACTTCACAACTTTTCAATCAGAAAACGAAAAATTAATTAAGCACCTCCAGCTAGTTTTGACAGAGGAATAAAACAGGAATAATTTGAAATTGCTTAGGAACTGGACAAAATAATATGAAGAATTTGCAGCGAGGTTATAACTTACATGCATCCGAAGAGGCAATAAAATAAGGGACTTTTTATGTTGAATGGTTTTATTGAAAAATAATGATAATAATAATGTAGATGATGCACTGAAAAATAATTCGGAAGGTCCTAAGTAGCAGTCATCACACCACGCTCTCAGTGATCTACGGTATTGATCAGATAAAAAATTATAAAATCGTTGAGCGTAGTGTCACCTGAGTGAATAACTTAATACTACGGCCAACGATTGTATTAATTTTTTATCTGATCAATACCGTAGATTGCCGAGGAGAGTGGTGTGATGACTGCTACCTAGGACCTTGTGAATATTTTTTTAGTTTTTAGTACATTATCTACATCATTATCGTCTTTTTTCAATAAACCGTTCAACATTTTTTTTGTTCACTTATTTTATTTTCAAGTTTTTATTTTCTGATTTTATTACTCAATTCATCTTATTCTGTTTAGTTCGTTTAGTGTCTCAGTATTACAAGATAATATGTAATCCGCCAATTTGTAGCTGCGGCCTTCTTCAATTTGCATCTTTTTTAAATTGTACTACTATTCTACTAGTAAAGCTGTCATTTGATACCCATATTGAGGAAGTTGTTAAAAAAATAGGTGTAGCTGTAGGCATTTTGGATTTACATTGGTACAGAAAGACATTTGGTTTTGATGTATTGTCATCAAAACCAAATGTCAGATCATTCTGTCAACAGAAAGGGGGTTAAACTTCAATTACTAAATTTGACCTACACACACACATACAGGACAAGCTGAATGAAACCGTTTATAAAGAGGAGTTGAGACTCATGCATGTCATATTTGAATGCTGACGGAGTTGTAATTGGCATGATACATTTGTTTAATTCAATATAATTGCACTATGTTGTTGAAAAAACTTCTTTAACGAGTGATCTAACGATTTTTAACAATAAATTATATTGGCTGAGAAGGTATTAAATAGTTCTTACCATAGTTAAAGATGAAATGTCTTCGTCTATATTGCTTTTCTTTTCCCGCGACGTCTCTTGATCGGTTAAGAATATAAGGAGTTTATAGTATATATAGTATATCAAAAATGTGGTTGGTATAGATCAGTACTTGCCCCTGACTTAATCGACGCTTTTACTTGTTTAAGGTTCTTCCCAAATGTTCCTTGAGTCGAGTCAATTTCTTTTTACCATGTATCAATTTCCTATGCTTGGTTAATATCTCCTCATACACGAGGATGTGTAGTAGTGAGGATGACAGTGTTCCTTGTAAGTGAAATTTAACTTCTTTCATTAATCATATTGTGTAGAAATCCTCTGTATGATATATGATTTGATTCCTTTACGAATGTTTGGAAAACAATCAGAATAGAGAAATGGGGTTTTCGTATAATTCAATGTTCATATAAAAGTATTTGTTTTGAAAGAATTTTTTTCGTGTAATTCTTCCATTGTGTGTCTGAAAAGTTACTTCTTTGCATGATCTACACATATTTGCAAAGAGTTATTTTTTTTTTAAATTGATTTCTTCCTTTCTTTGGAGGATTCCCACATTTTTTGTATCAAGATGGAGAAGTAGAAGACCAAAAACTTTCTTTCCCATAGATTAAATATTATTAAAGAGCGGTATCTCAGTAATCGTTCAACCTACGTTCTATCTGTTCATTATAGTTATATGCACGATTTGCATTTCAAAATAGCACTGTGGTTCTAGATTGAATCTGGTCATTATTACGTCTTGGTCAAAGACGAAACGGACTGGTTCAAGTTTGACGATAGTCGTGTCACTAAGTGCTCTAGCGATATATTGAATTTATTGGAGTCTCTGGATACACCTTACATTTTGTTTTATGAAAGAGAGGACATTGGCAGATCAAGATCTTCAGATGATGTGGTGCTGCAGGTTTTTCCGGGTTTTCCTGCAGCTGAAAAAGCAAATGCGCATCTGGAATCAATAAGTCGCCCCGGAGCGCCAATTAATTTTTGTTGTTTTATAATTTCATGATTTGTATTATTATATTACAAAATATTTCTGTTTATTCAAAAAAAAAATCAAAAAATGTAGGTACATAACCAATTTGTAAATTTGTAACTATCCATCGATATAGAATATAAACGTGGTCAGTTCTTTTGTATGACAAAGATATAGATAAAACGACCTTGCCAGAATATATGTTTTACCTTCTATCCTTCATTTTCCATAGATTAGACAAGGAAAAAAATATGTGTTGCCGCAAGTTTAGGATATGAAGTTTTATATCAAAAATATTTTGTATCCTCGACGTATATATGCTGTTGGTTTTAATGATTTCACAGAACATAAAAAATTTTAGTTGATATTAACACATTTACTGTTTCTTCAATAACTGAAAAATTTTGGATACTCAAGAGGTGAGGATGTTATGAAAAAAAAAAGGAGATTGAAAAAAATTTTCAACTTCCGGAACTCTACCTCTACTTTTCATAAGCATTACTACCGTTTTCGCACCTTACAATGGAAGTTATTGACAATAGTTACATTTCGCAATAATTCATCAATGAATGATTTATGAACATTAAACAAAAATTTTTTCACGATATTGTTGTCATGAATAAAAATAATGTCATTTGAAAACATGACAGAGTTTTTTCATAATTTATGTAACACGTGTATCATTTTATATTTCCGTTTTCCATTGCATCACTAATTTTTCTCTAAATACATATATTATAATGAGCTTCTATCTGAAAGTGTCGCTTTTATTCTTTATTTAAAAATTGATGAAAACTCCAGACACCACTGTGACACCACTGAAATCGCTAACATGTTTTTTCAATAGATGGCTATATTGCTATATTTAATTTTGATCTTGGTTTTGTGCTCTGAATGGGACTAAAATAACATGAACACCTGCCATTACTTGTTGGAAAACGAGGAATATACGACTATGATTGAATTGAAACAACCATATTTACTATCATCTGTTTATTGATGGGACAAATGTTATTGCCATTTTTGTGTTTTTAATAAAAATCGCGTCATGCATTCTATCAAAAATTCAAAACAAAAATATCAGAAGTTATTTCCTTGCTATTTCCTTCGAGTATTGACCCGAAGAGGAAAATTTTTCATAGGTATGAATTACATGCATGATTGTTGCTTAAGTAGTTGGATTTCTTTTATTTGCTTAAGGTTAACATACCAATTATTTTCGTTTGAAGTTACGCTGGTTCGCAACAAATGTACCATAATAAATAGACAACAATCACAAAAAGTTACCTATTCAATGCATATATTCATACGGTGGAATACTATGAAATAAGTGTTTTGAATAAATTGATGGATGTAGCCGTTACTACGTGGTAGGAAATCATAATGAAGAAAAGAGACATGAAACTTTCTATGTTTTTTACCACTTTTTTTGTAACTAACGTTACTGCAGTTTCGTATGAGTTTGAAAATGTCCGTATAGGACGAAACTACAGTAACGTTAGTTACAAATAAAAATGGTAAAAAACATAGAAAGTTTCATATCTCTTTTCTTCATTAAGTGTTTTAAGATTGATATTTTTAGCAAGCTAATAGTTTTTCAGCAACAGTAAGTAACTCACGCTAGAAACAATACTGTCACCCAGCCAAATACATATTTGGCAACGTCTTATCAAACTTCTCTTGATGCGCCAGTCTGCTCTTTCGTTATTGGTGATAACTTTGATTGCTTTGATTGCTTTCCTAATTTTTCGACGCAGTTTTACTTCATTCAGACTTTCAATGAATTCAATGAACACTTCATTGTGAGGTTTTCACTTAACAGTTTTACAAAAACCCAACATATGTTTCGCTATACAATATCTTCTTCAGTCTTCTCTATACTAGCTAACTTAGTATACTTTAAACGGGCCTGAAGAACCTATAACTAACTCAGTATAGTATACACACGCCGGAAGAAGCTATTGTATAGCGAAACACGTGTTCAAATTTTAAAATTGATATTCAACACTAAAATATATTTTCTGTAGTCTTCAGCGGCAATGCGTCTATGCCGCAACGGGAACGCGGAGCCCCATTTTCGACTCTTCATAGAGTCAAATTGTCTCTATCTTGCAACTTGGATGCAACTTTGGAAGAATATCGAAATGTTTGATGTTCGTTCCTCCACATTTTCATAGAAGCAGAAGGATTGAACAAGAAGATCATTAGATTTCGTATACAAGAACAGATTAGTAAAGACTAGAAAATTCACATAGAAGGAAGAAGCAACACAGACATTTTGGAATATATACATGAGCGACATGATTTCGAGAAGGAATGATTGAATGTTAACTGAAGCAGAAGTGACAATTTACCAATTTTATTGTGAAAATGAATCACCGAAAAATCAATTTGTAAAGTTTTGAATAGTCGTAAGTTCATGCTCGCGGCAAATTGACTTCAGATTTGTGTATATAAATGTATATATGTATATGTATGTATGTATATATACGTATGATCCTGCGTCCTCCACCTTTCTGCGTCCGTACACGGACGAAAGATTTTTCTGTTATGGTTACGTCAGGACGCAAAAAAGGTTGTTAAATGTACAGTCAGTTCCCGAAAGTGGTTCATGTCTTTCTTCGCTAGGGGGTGTTCGCGTCGACACAAGTATATCTTGTTGTATATTTTTGCGACATGTCGCAGACGATTGAAACTCCGCAAATCTGACAACATTGTATATTCCGTGTATTCTATGGGAATGTCCAAAATTCATGAGAATTGGGTAGTTGTTCGTTCCGTGACAAATGATATGTGTTGNTAATATTAAATCAAAATACTAAAAATATGTATCATACGGGAGTAATTCAAAATTTTCCAAAAGAAAGAAAAAATTCGAATAGCAGGCCATGACTTCGTATTTGAACATAACTTTTAATTCTAAGCAACTTTTTTCTCCAACATATTCCTATATTTTTTGAAATAAGGGTACTTTACTCTTGAACGAACTTTATATTTTTTGGCCTATCCTGTATGCTGTTTGTCATAAAGCCATTTCAGATACACTCAGTATAGTTTTGTAACATGCACCAACTTTTGTCAAGAATAACATTTTCTGAAAAAACGATAATAAAATAGTTTCCCATTTGTTGCAGACTTAGTGGACCACATTGTATATAGCTGTTTTTATATTTTTTTCTGCTCCAGAAAAAAATATAACGTTGGTCAATATTTGTTTATAACAAATTGTTAAACTAATAAACAATTAAATAATGAATACTTTTTTTGTTAAACTATTTAAAAGTGTAAATTATGATTTTTAAAAGCAAAACTATTCCTTTACTGATTATTTAAACAATCGAAATATAAAAAAATAGATTTTAAACAACCAAAAATCAAAATTTCTAGACAACAAGATAGCAAAAAACATTTTCGAAAATATTGAATTTCTCTATTTGTTTAAAACAAATTAATGAACAAATTACGTAAAAAATTCATATCCTATGTTAATAACTGCCATTGTTCAATGTGAAAACAGACATAGCTGAATATCAACTGAAAAAAAAAATCTATCAACAATTTTTAGATATTTCATTTTGCAATAGTTATAAGAAATCATAATTAACAAATTAATAAATTTTTATGACCTTTTATCGCAGGATCGTATGAAGTATATATATCAAAAGGGCTCCACGAAGTTTAAAATTAGAGACCAATTATTTATAATTTTATCCCATTATTTATGCCAACGGAGATTGGGAAAAAATGTGTTAGTTAACAATTGAATAACTTTTTGAAAAATGGTGATGAAACTTTTTTTTCTACGGGACTCGATTCATTCAAGTGTTACGAAGATACTAGATTTTTTTCAAATTTTTAAAATGACATTTTATGTTAAAAAAAATTATTTCTTTTGATAAACTCTCTTTAGCGGCAGCGCGCGCATGCCGTAACAGCCGCGCGGAACCCTATTTTCAACGTCAAATTAAAATTATAAATAATGGAGATAGAGTTTCGGGAGTAAAATTGCTTAAATATTAATATTTTTTGAGTTATTAACGAAAAACTAAATACCATTTTTTTTAATCTTATTTTGTTAATAACAATTGCAATTTTTTACCTGCACCAAAATTCTTCAAAAACATTTTTCAAGAGATGATTCCGAATCGAAGGAGCTATCGCTCATATTTTTAGGACCTTTTTCTTTATTTTTCAATGTTTTTGATCTTGTTGATTAGACTATAGTAGCCACATAACCTTAAGTGAATTTGTGTGATATTCGCACAAAGTCAATACAAAGAACATAAATAACTGTTGTTCACTCACCAATGGGTTGTTCTCCCAGCACGGGGAAATTTTCGGGAGCGATATCCATATTCACCATATCAGAGAATCGAACATTCACCAAAATATCGTCCTTGGTGGAGATTGACTCTCCATCGTACTCAAAATTTATTTTGAAAATGAGTACTTCCAAAAGAAATATGCTGGGCATTTTGACGGAATACGAGCAACGTTCACATACGACAATTTTGAATGCGAATACACTGAGATTTCTGGTGGAAGATTTGTATATATGTGACGTTAGTTTGACATTGACATACTTAATTAAGATGATGTACCTCAAATAGTATTTCGAAATGAATCTTTTTTCTCTTTGAAATTTTAAAAGTTGACAAATGGGAATAGTCCCTCGTCTCGTTAGCTTTCGAACGGGAAATGTTATCAAAGTCGGACATTTATTTCGATTCCAGATTTATAGAAGTCATTAGTCAAATCAAGCCATAGAACTTATTATTGATGTTGAACACAATCTTAAGATTTATTTTTTAGTTTGTGTTGCTATTAAAGCGCGGTTTTTTAAACTATCATTTATTTTCCGTTTTGACTTGCTATTTCAAACCCGTTTGTTTTAATATAAAATATAAACGCATGCGAAGACGGTGTGGTTGTCTCACTTACTCTCACACAGAGACTGTGTTTGGAAATTATTTGATCCTGGCGACCCTGATCAGGATAATGAAGTGAACTCATCAAGTTATTTTATTATCATCGATTCTTAATAAGTGTACAGTGTTTGAAATAAATTTGTCCGTTTAAAGTTAGTCAAAATCGAGTCCAATGGAGTCGGTTACAAACAAACATACAAGTGGAGTTAATAGAAGCGCACTTGTGATGCACTGTTTGAAACTTTTGGTGTAGTAACCCAACACCAAACCGTTATTTTAACACCTCGACACGTGTTTCGATCACCAAATGATCATCTTCAAAAGGCATCATCCTGCAGACGTTATTCAAAAACCATTATTTTTGACAGTGAGCAGGGTCTTTCTAACATCAGTCCACAGGGAAATAGCATGGTAATTACAGTTGATAAGAGGCCCACTAGCAACTTCAAAATCGATATCTGCAACATCAGAGGACTCCACTTAAATACTCAGTGCACCAACATCTGCAATTAAATAATCCTCATAATTTTGCACTCACAGAAACCAAAGTCAGTGCTTCAACAAACCCCGTCAATTTTCTATATCACCGCTGATTTCCACTCCCGAGTCAGATGTAAGTCTGAAACATCTCTTTTTATCAGAAACGATCTCTCCTGTCAACGAGACGAACTGCTGGAACCCTGTAACTTTGATTTTAAGTGGTTCAAAATCATATCACAGAAGATCACCAAATTCTTATGCTGCGTTTATCGACCACCTAGCGATACATAATATAGGGCACTATTCTCTTCATCAATCAATCAATCATCCCAGTGCCGAAATTTACATATTCGGTGACTTCAATGTCCATAATATCGAATAAGCAGCGGACTTACTCAGATTATAAATGATCCAACCAGGATTCCTGACCGTGATGAAGAATATGCTAGTATTCTAGATCTATAGTTAACAACCAATACAGAAATTCACACAGTCAACGTAAGGTCTCCATTAGGATCTTCTGACCACAAACTCATTTCAGTGTTGAGTGTTTTACCGATGAATACTGGGGAACAATCTAAGCCGCGCAAAGTTTGGCGTTACAGATCAGCTGAAAGGGAGAATCTTCAAAAACATTTCCAAAATTTCTAGATGCTTGTTTCAGCTCTAATGATCAATCACCTTGTGCTTCTGAAGTCACAGAAGTTATTCTATCATCCATGGATGCATATATTCCTTTTTCAATGAAACGACTTTCTAACGGCAAACCTTGATTCAACAAAAGTTGCGAGCAAGCTGTCGCCTCCAAAAATCTTGCCTTATGACAGTGGCGCAAAAATCCCAGTGCCAAAAAACCGAACTATGTTTGTTAATGCTCGCAATAACTGCAAACTCAGGATAAATGAAAACAAAGAACTTTTACAATCAGAGAATTAAAGATAAACTGCTTGCCAATCCCAATGGGTCTAGATCCTTCCGGTCGGTAGGTAAAGCTGTTGATCAGAACTTTACAAAATCCCCAATTCCACCACTAACACAAGCGGATGGTTCAAAATTGCAACGACAGCCATAGAAAAAGCAAATCTACTAGCTGAATAATCTGCGTCCCACTCCACAGTCGATTTACTGGGAAAGGCACCACCCACAATAGAATCCACAATGCCGGAAATTACTTTTCGACAGCGTTTAGTCAGACGAATTTTGAAACAGCTCAATATCAACAAGGCGTCTGACTCTGATGATGTGCATCGTACTTAAAAAGTGTGCAAATGAACTCGCACCAGTATATTGCGGACTTTTCAACCTGTCTTACAAGAAAGGGGTTTTTCCTTCTAGTTGAAAGATTGCTGCCGTTCAGCCTATTCCCAATGAGGGCCAGAGAAATCTTCCAAATAACTATAGACCAGTCGCCTTGCTATCAGTGATATCAAAAATCATGGAGAAAGTCTCAAATCACCGTATCCTCAAATATTTGGAAAGCTTCAACATCTTGAGCGATCATGAATATGTCCTTCGGAAACAAAGATCAACAAGCGATCTTCTATCGTATGCCACCCATATTTAGAATAACGCAATCTATAAACATGGAGAATCAAGAGTTGTTGCGCTTGATATTTCTAAGGCCTTCGACCGTGTGTGGCATGAGGGTTTGCTGGCCAAACTTTGATGCTATGGCTTGTCAGATCATTTTTTGTGTATGGCCCTTCAGCTTACTGAAACAACGTTCCTCGAAAGTGGCCGTCGATGGATATCTCTGGAACACTTTCACCATCAACGCTGGTGTGCCTCAGAGATCCATATTGTCTGCAACCCTCTTTTTACTGTATATCAACGACTTATTGGAAAGGACCAAGAATCCAATATATTCCAGGTCATCGGCTACGGAGGCACATATTCACCGGCAGCAGGAGGTTGCATATCTAAATGAGGATCTAGAAGTGATTTCGAATTGGAGTGAAAGTAACCAGGTTCAATTCAATGCCACGAAAACCTAGGCATATGTTTTTTCCAAGAAGATAAATGTCTCCAAGCCGGATATAATAATGTCAGGTCAGACCATTCTGATTTCTCCTTCGATAAGTTTGTTGAGGATTAAAATGGACACCGATGTGTCTCGGCACAATCATGTCGCTGAAATTGCAAAGGCTATATATCAAAAGCTTGTAACACTGTTCCTATCCAAAAAACTCTGAAAGAATTCCGACTTTCAATTATCTGTTAGAAATGAAGACGACTATCGACGACTTTCAATTATGGAACATCATTGATTTTAGGTCGATGATGGCCACTATCTTGCACTGACGAGTGGCTAATGAGCCTGAAACCGGTCTGCAAGAGTGCCCGTTCCAGAATTGAAGGTTGACTCTTACAGTTGAATTGCCAGTTGCATATGCAGGAAATTTTCTGTGAAGATTTCTGCCATGACACCTGTCGTATATAATCCAACGCCCTTCGTGGTATAAGCCAGGGGAGTAGTTGTTTTCTGATAGACGTTAGTCCAGTCAACCTATTTTGTAGGTATATCCGAGACTGGCTTGAACATTTAAAGTTCATTTCTTTAGATTTGTTTATTGCCAGTCTTCAAGCATAGCCCACTGACTAATAAGAAAATTTTTCTTCCTTATTCACAGGAATCGGGCAAATTTCGGATATGCAGTTGGTTAGTCCTCGTCCACTAGATGGAAGTGACAAATTTTTTGTTTGCTCCAACTGAGGAAGAGGAATGAAATACTCTGAAAGGATTACGATTTTCAATTATGGAACATCATTGACTTTAGGTCGATGATGGTTTTTTTTTTACTTGTTTCAGGGATTTCAAATCATTTTATATAGTAGACAATGGAAGTCCGAACTAGTGAAATTCATCACGAAACATTGTCAATCACCTTCAAACAAACGATGAAATAAACTTCCTAAGAACGTTTTTCCAAACGGATTCAATCTCCAGCGATTCAAATCCAATGTTACCGGCTACTTTCGCACAGGCACTGCTCTGAGAGCGCCTTAAAGATTTTCCTGTAATGATTGTGTTTTCTCCTTAAAAAAAAAGGAAGATGAGACTGTTTAATATGCCTCTTGAATATGATCACTTGGTGATTGGAACACGTGTCGAGGTGTTGAAATAACGGTTTGGTGTTAGGAAAAAACTCCAGTAATATTCTTTATTAGAAGAGTGTTAAAAAGAAGCTACTGGTGTGACATCACTTGCTGCAGAAAGGGCACTATCATCTTTTTCTTCAAACATTGAATCACACATTGTATAATTGAATAGCACAACACATTCAATAATTCAATGTTCATATCAAAATAGTTGTTTTGAGAGTATTTTTAGTATATGTTCATAAGGAATTGGTTCTTTCAAGAGGGCTTTTACTTTCTGTTTGTATCTAAAGATAAATTCTGTGCATGATCTACATCTTTCTGGTGAGTTTATTTTGAAATTAATTGTTTAATTTCTTCCTTAGTTTGGAAGTTTTCCACATGTTTTGACCAGACTGATAGTAGTGCTCTCTAGGTAATATAGCATATCCAAAACACGAGGGTAATGATCATTGTGGTCGATGCCGTTAACACAAAAAAATAATTGGTTGAAAAGTTACTGTTAAGCATCTGTTTTTTCCATACCAACAAAATAGGAACTTCCGTGAGGTAAGGATTAACGAGGTTCCTATTTAATGTGTCATTCCTAGAACGATTGCATTGAAAGTGACTATGAGTGAAACTCACAAACGATATCTGCTCGTGAATCAAGCATTGTACATACCTGTTCCAAACTTCATTAGATCTTCAGGATCATTATGACTTCAGTCGGCTTCTACATCTTCCTTTAATTATTTCTTATCTTTTTCATCTTTACTCTTTCTTCTTTGTTCCTCTTTGTACATTTTGTTCTGTGTTACACGATCTTTGTTAATTTTTCCAAATGGAATTGGTGTATACTAATAATAATAATAATAAGATGGTGGTTCTGATTATTGGAGTCCTTGATGGAATGATGTCTTCTCTACTCTCGAATCTCAAAATCATACCGGCTTGCCGCACTAAGGCAGAAATCTTAGCCGCACAGATGCAGAAGGCTGTCATTCTTGGCTCACTGCGTTTGCTCAGGGCACATGATTCTCGGAACCAATGATCACTTACCCCACGGTGTGGGAAGTGGTCATTAGTTGATTATGCTGGCGCG